ACTCGCAATTTTACACCTGTTACATATTTCCTGCAAAATTTGAACTTCGGACAGGGAGACACGCGTACACAAGTCTTTGACTTCTAATGACCCAGTTTTGGAACCAATTCCAATATTCACTTCTTCGTTGGGATTTTTAATCCCCCCCCCCCCTCTCAATCCTTTTTTTTTGACGCAACGGTCGTTTTGTGATGCTATTGGACGTTCATGAGTAGCTCCATTGAAGTTCTGCAGAAAAATAGCGAACAATGAGCCAGACAGTGAACGAAAGCAAAACAATCGATCCGAATGTACGTTTGTTGAGGTAAACATGCCATCTGATAGCCTAATCCTCGCTTTACCGATGACCGCCTCTAAAACGCAGTTCCTAATGCGATTACAGTGGCATTTGTGACGTCCTAGTGGTATTAGTCTTAACTGCTAGTGTGTAAAAGGTTTCGTTGTAGCAAGTTCTGGACTTGCGATTAACATTGCCAGCCTACCTTAACGACCAGATGACTACGACAAACAGGGAATTCAATGTTTAAAAAAAAATATATAAATAGGTACTCATAATGAAAACAGACCTTCTAGGGACGCGATTTGTCGTGGTTTTGATAGCTCTCTAAAGAAGCCTCATTCGGTTTGAATTAAGAGTAAGGAAGGTTTAAGAGGATTCGTAACATAGCATCATAAGAAGGCCAATTTTAACGAGGTTCGAGTATAATGTACGGTATGACTTCGGGGATATATCTTTCAAAGGAATTATGATGATTTACCTCCAAAAAAAATTCAAGATACCAAAGAAAAAACTATGCAGGTTTCAAAAATTTTAGGTAGGTTCACAGATTGTCCAACTCATTGAGTTTCTCATCCGTATTTTTAATTTTTTACAGTGGGAATTCCTTGTTATCCGTTGCAAAGATCTATTTCCTTTAAGGTATTCTGTTTGCGTTTTACTTGAGATTCGTTAAAATTGTCCTCTTCATTGCGCGATGTTAAGAATCGCCTTATAGTCGATCCATCACAAGGCAAACCATAAGGCCTCCTTAGGGAAAAAAGCTATTAAAAAACCGGCTTTGAGTCCCTTCGATTTGCATGCATGCCTTTATAGGGGGACATCATTTAGTATTAGGTTTCGACACCCGGTTCTTGTGGTTTGTCCGTGCTGTGGGAAGCCTCCACTGGGGTTCACGTAGTTTCGATTCCTCCTCACACAAATCACCACGCACAAGAGAGGCATACTCTTAAGCTCACGCATTGTATTTCTCCGCACAAATCGGTCGGGACTAAACGGGGACGGAATTGTCATAGGTGTGTCCGGGAGAATTTTCCTTCAAAATTAAATAATACGATAAGTTGAAGCCATGATGGATGGGGTACGTCCCCTACATTATGAGAGAGTCCACCACTGTATTCAGTCTAACTCTCCATGCACAAGTGGGAGACATCTCAGCAATTCATGTAATGTCACCTGTCTGTGTGTACGCGTCTCTTTAATCACAAAGGCACGCGACATTTACTGCTGTGCTGAGGAAGAACGCCGTAGGAACAATTGAGAGTTGTCAAATTTCATTCCATAAAATGTTTATTTTTGAGGAAAGTTAAGAATATTTTTCCTTGAAATTTTCAGAATCTTTAGTTGAAATTGCGAACAATCTTATCTGAAACATTGTGAGGAAAATATCCATACGTTTACCAGGAAATTCGCGTTTTATCAAAGGAAATTTGACAACGCCTGAGGGTTCATACGGCGTTTTTCCTTAGACGATAGTTTAGCGATTCCTATTTCCGGTTCTCTGTTGGGCCGCAGACAATGTCCAAGCTATCTCCGGGGGACTGGTAGATCGTCAATTTTGACACTCGTCATTGTTGATCGTTTACAAATACTCTAACTGATTATTTTAGAAACTCTTTCACTTCAACCCTGCAGATAATAGATATTTACTGCTTAACTCAATCCCTGTTACAGATTATTTAATTGCGAAAGGTAAAATTTGTGAAAGATTCATGCTGGAATTTCAAGAAGCACTATGAGACCGTCTAACTTTAAACCGATTTAGGAGGCCTTGAGGGCGATATCCCTCTACTCTAAACAATTTTGAAGTAGAATTCAATTGGGAAAAGTTTAGAGAGGCATCTAAAATTTCAGCATTACTTAGTAGGTAGGTGACTTTTGTCATGGTATCCATTTCAGTGGCAGGAAAAATGGTACCTGCTTTTCCAATCCAGTAAACGGAGAGCGATCTAACTTGGAACTAATCAAAAGGGTAAACAGGGATTGTCAAGTTTCTCAGATTAGAATTTTGAGTTGTCAGTATCAATAAGGATTCTGAGAGGTTTAACCAGCAGAGAAGAAATCTGTTCAAGTGAAAACTGTGCAACCAACCAAAGGGTGTGTTTCAATACGCCATTGAACCAAAGAAATAAAGACTTCAATTGACTTGGGACATTATCAAGGATGTCATGATGAGTATTCAGCGTTGTTTGATGGTGCATAGTATCAATAAGTAAGTCATCAAAATTGAAACATCCCTAACTTTCATTCATTCAAGTGTATTTTGAATGCGTTTTCACACTTGTATATGAACGTACCTGCAGGTTCACTCTGCAGACAATCTTAAGTGAGTAATAAAATAATAAACGCACTGCCTTTTAAAACCGAAAAATCTAACTTTCAAATTCCAGTCGAGACGTACCTAGCACATCTAAATTAAATCATCTCCAGACTTCATTAAAACTTTGTTTGCCTCAGCTTCGATGAGATTCTTCATGAACTCAGCACAATCCTGATTCAGGGTTGCAAGTTTAATCCAATTTCAGCGATAGAACACAGACATGAACGCGAGAACAGAACTAATATCTAACTTTTGCAACGTAGGTATCTCAAAGTCAATACCAAAATATTTCTCAACGGGGTGAATCGAGTGAAAGTTTGTGGACTTTCCACAGAGGAACTCACTACACGAAGATTTTGCAGTCACTCGCCTTTCGAACATCGCACTAAGACAAAAGGCGCGATACAACTATTTTAGCTCCTGAGCTGCTCAAATTGCATCCATTGAGTTGAAGGCAAACTTGATTTTTCACTTCCGTTTTGAAGTATCTAAATATGAGCGCAAAGGCGCGCTAAATTCTAAGTTCGGCAACTTACCTACCTCAATGTCAAAATCAAAATACTTTTCTGCCAGGAAAATTGAATGAACGTTACTGCACGTTTCGCTATGAAGGTCATAAAAAAGCCAAGATAACATAGAACGTCACTCGTCCATCGGACGTCACGCTAAACTAAAAAGTGAGATAAAAGTACTTCGACTCCTGAGCCGACCAAATCGCATTCAGATTCTAGAAATGGAATTTCCAACAAGCTATATAAAAGAGGAAAAATTTGTAAAGACTGCGTTCCGTACAAAAAGCAATTTCTACAGTGCAACGCAACTGAAGAAGTTCGTTTGTTATAAATTTAGTGAAAGCAAAGCAATGAGCGACAAGACAAGGTCTGAACTGGAGGAAAACATCACATGCTTCCTTTCCAAAATTGCCTTTATGTTATTTTTCTAAAGGAGAACAAATTGACATCATACCTTGAAGTTTATGCAGAATTTTTTTCCCACAGAGAAGAAAAATCACGGCAGTTTTAAAGAATTGCTGTTGAGTAGTTTGCCGTTTAAAAAATAAAGAATGATAGGAAGTCTGCGACATCACAAATCAAGTTATGTGATTGCCAACTAACATAACCCAATTGCTGTGAGTATATTAATGATGAGACACCGATTTCATAACACCGAACTCATAGCGACTTTAAGTAAGTAAAGCCTCCTTGAAGAACAATGTGACTTACACATTTCAGAGCACTTAATGACAAGGAATCCAAAAATATAAGTTCAGGGAGAACTAAAAAAACTAAAACAACAGTGTAAGGCAGGAATCACATACAGTGTTCCAACTTCACCTCCAAGTTTTAGGAGCCGTTTGGCCCATCAAGTTCAATTTTTAGGGGCCATTGAAGATTTTTTAGGGGCCATTGAAGATTTTTTAGGGGCCAAATTGAATTTTTGCCTATATATCACGGCGCATTTAGTGAAAAGTTATACGCAAGATATACAGTTACAGGACTTGCAAGTTGCAACTCGCAGCCATTACTTGGGAAAGGGAAAGGCCAAAGGAATGATATTCCGATTTAAAACAAGGAGCTTTTAGTTTACTTAAAGTTTGCTCAATTAAATAATACTTTTTCTGACTTCCTATTATGAAAAGTAGTAGAACGATTCTATAGTATGTACGATAAGTAGTACGATTCTCGATCTGCTGAGCCGCTGCCGCGACGAAGTTCCGCGCGCAACTGCTTGCTATGCGCGTTCAGTCCAGGCTGACTGACAAAAATCTTGAAATCATCAAACCGTAATTTAGGATTGCGACAATTTTTTAGGGGCCACATTTGGCGCAGGGTCTTCGTTTTTTAGGGGCCATGGCCGATTTTTTAGGAGCATTTGGCGACATGGCGCTCGTGGGGTTGGAACACTGATCACATAACTCACTTTGCGGCATTGCAGACTTCCTATCATACTTTACTTACTTTTCAAACAGAAAAGTACTCAATGGCACTTCTTTAAAACTGCCATGATTTTTCTTCTCCGTGCGAAGAAAATTTTGCAAAAACTTCAAAGAATGATGTCAATTCGTTCTCCTTTAAAAAAATAACATAGAGACGGAGATTTTCAGACACTGCAAACAGAATAAGTGATTGCGGAATTACGCCGTCGAAAAGCTTGTCAGTTGTTATAAATGGAGGAGTCAACAATGAGCTCCCTTGAGAGGCAAACAATGCCAAAATGATGAAAGTCCTGAACGTATCAGGGCCTTGGGTATAATGCCTATGCATTGCATTCAAAGAAGTATTTTATTTTTGAATAATAAAAAAGGAATTCAGTGATTAATTACAACAGCGAAGCCGTAGGCACCGGAGAAAGGTGTAAGGGAGGGCGAGGCATAGAGATTGTTTGGGCAAAATTCGCACTTACCAAAAGGGACCGAATGTATGTAATTGAAAATAGAAGTTATCAATGAATGCTTTAGAGCGAATAGAAAAGATCACAATCACAGAATCTCCAAGAATAACTGCTGATAAACGCACAAATTGATAAAGGAAAGGTAAAGAGTCAAAGACGTCCCGGCGTAGGAAATGACAGATTGATGACTAGACTAACTAACTAGTACACTAGTACAGAGCAAACACAGAGTCAAATGGCTATTAAACAGGCAGCCATTTTGAAATTTCATCGTGACGTTTGATGACGTAGACTACTACTAGGCGCAAGCAATGCTCCACGCCATACATGATCCAACTTTGCCACGCAACAATATTCAACGCGAATGATATATTACTGATACATAATAGCGAAATATCAAGAGCTCTTATTACATAAAATGTTCAGAAATTTTCCATGAAGATTCAAAATCCTCGAAGCGCCCATAAATAATTCTAAAAAATTCACCCGAAAATTTTGAAAACAGAACTGTCAGTAATAATTAAACTTCAGAATTCCTCATCGAGGGCCCTCCCCTCTTTATAGGTTTCATTTACATTGTCATTTTGTAAAATAAATTAATGTAGTATAAGTACCATCGCCAAATTTCTTTTTAAGTATTTGCCAAATTTCTTTTTAAGTATTTGTTATTTTGATGAAAAGCCATTAAGAATAATTTTAACCTCCATTTTGTGTACCTTCTACATATTTACCCCCAAAAGACAGTCGTTATACCCCCTTGTTTATATCTTCATCTAGTCACATTCATAGAAATTTTTGGTAAAAGACTCTTGTAATTTTCCAAATAATAACACCATTTGGCACACATCGCATCTCAACGCACCGCTCTAACATNATTAATGTAGTATAAGTACCATCAGCCAGAGCCAGAGGAGCAAACCGTCATACACCGTAAAATAGTCTCTAGGGAAGCAGAATTTTTCCACGTTTTGCTACCATGTAAAGCACATAGGTACAAGAAGTTTGACAGTTTACTTATACGAGTAAGTATTATGTTGTTAAAACAAGAGACTTCCCACGTTTTAAGTAATCCTTGTCTTCAAAGTGACTAATTACAGTGAACCTACATATAATCGATAGTAACGAGGTATTCGTAACCGAAAGCCGCCCGGCGGCTTAGGCGTAAGGAGCGACCTGCTACTACAGTTGCATCACTCTGAATTGCAGGCGCGTCTTGTGCGCGATCAGGTAGGTGCTGCGTTTTAAGCGAGGGAACCAACGGCTCAATTTTGTGTATTCCAACACTCGTGTTCATTCCCTTTTTTCTGTGAACGATCACATTTCGACGGTATGCTAGTATAACTTGCTTGCAATGCTTCAGAATCTTTTCTTCCATTCCATTTTATCATTGGACAACGAGCCAACACTATTGCTGGAGATTTTCGTAGACTATTCCTCTCTGAGAAGAAAAAAATTAGCGAAGTTTTCAAGGAATCAGATGAGTACTGTTTCATTCAAAGAAATGAATAATGAGAGGAAAGTCTGCAAAGACGTAAACCGAGGTACGCGTTGTTGCAGTTCCATGATTGACACGTTATTTTGGATATTATGGAGATTCTGCCTATCGAGGATGCAGAATGTTCTTTGCCGGCACATTTTAAGATCCCTCTCGTATCACATATTCATTTTAGGAGGAAAAAAAGATGAGGAAAACGAGGAGAGGAAAAATGTGACGAGAAATGACGATAGATATCAAATCTATCGCAGGCTTCTGAAATTATAGAAAACATGAAAAATTAAACCCACTAGACGCATCCAAGCACCGTTATTTCCAAAAAAGCGAGCCAGTGCTGCGGTTTACACGAGCTTAGGACGTGGGTCTGCAAATCCATCCTAAAAAGAGTCAGACAAGAACCTGAAAAAAAAGAACGAGTATCAACACAGTCGAATACAGAAAAATCGTATTCGGGCCTCTTTTTTAACTTTTTCCCCGAATTTGAGAGACACCTCATTGACAGCATGCAGCAGAGCATTGAGAGCTCACGCCTCGCGTCATCGCGCCTTCAATTTTTCAGATACAGCACGGACGTCCAACAAGTACGAATAGTTGTATCTCTGCGCCTTCGTAAACGCGCATCCTTTCCCTGCCTCTATTTCCATATTGTGTTTGTTTCCGTTTGTCATATTTGTAATGTTGCTTCAAGCACTACGTGAGTAACACAGCCGAAGGTAGGAGAGATGTGTTCCGGCCCCTTTTTTTAAACTTTTCTTCCGAATTTGATCGATACCTCATTGACAGCATGCAGCAGAGCATTGAGAGCTCACGCCTCGCGTCATCGCGCCTTCAATTTTTCAGATACAGCACGGACGTCCATCAAGCACGAATAGTTGTATCTCTGCGCCTTCGTAAACGCGTATCCTCTCCCTTGTTTTATTTCCATATTGTGTTTATTTGCGTTTGTCTTATTTGTTATGGTGCTTCAAGCACTACGAGAGTAACACAACCGAAGGTAGGAGAGATGTGTTCCGGCCTCTTTTTTAACTTTTAAAATATGTTTAAAGGTCTCTCAAGAGATCCATAAAGGGTGCATATCGTCGCTTGGCTGACATAAAGGCGTAACTACACATTGAGATGAGCCCGGAAAAGCATTGAATTATATGGAGGACAGGGTTCATTGCAGAGTGCAGTTACGCCCTTATGTCAGCCAAGCGACGATATGTCTAAAAGTCAAACCGACTATCGCTTCTAGGGGAGTTACGATAGCGAATGGAGGGGGGGGGGTGATAAAACGCCTGTATGTCAACAAAAAGGTGAAAAATTCACAGAAAAGTGTTAACGCTTCAGAAAGTAGTTCTTGGACCTCTATTCACCACATCATGCGTAAAAGCACCTTTCTTTACCCCTAACTCTCTTCTTCCGTTCACTTTAGGAATTTTCCGCACATATTCTCGGTAGTAATTTTTTTTTTTTCTCTTCTTATTTTGCTATCTACCAGAGGGGCGCGTTTTCGGTGCACCAAGGGAGCGTATCTGCCAATGGCAGATTGGCCTTATGGCCAGTCCGAGCCTGTATGACACCGCCCCTTTTAATAACTTCGCCTTCCAATTCGCCGCATAGGCAACATACCTACGGGAGAGCGCGAATAGTTGCCTATTCCATAAACACATATTAATCTCGCTCCATAAGCTTTGGTTCAGATCACCGATGTTGTTAATCTATTGACAGCCTTGTTTCCACTGTTTCCTTATTTTTCTTCTACTGTTTCCGTTTTGGGCTGCGTGTGTACCTTTTGTCTTTGTCCTATTGACAGACATATATCGTCCGTTTAAGGTTCGCCTTCAGTTTACCGCATAGACTACAAACATGACGGAGTGCGCAAGAATGTGGACCCAGCAATATTTTACCACATTGTTACATACATAGTTCGAGCCAAACCGATAAACGACTTTATGAACCTGTTATTAAATAAATATTTTCTTTGATCTCGTACGTTATTTACCTTTTCTCTCGCATCAATCGAAAGAGGGGTGTTGCATAGTATTTCACCGCCCAAACTAGCAAAATAGCAAACTATAAAGTATCCGCTTGCGTAATATTACGAATTTTTATGATGGGGTGGTAGTTCCTATTGTATTTTTATTTGTTGCCTCGGATTGATTTATTCTAATGAACTACTGGGTTTGATACTTTTTAATTTTTTTTTAATTTCCATCCAATTTCATTTTTAGTGAAAAAAGCAACGGAAACCATTAATTTACTTAAAATGCAGAATGACAGGATTCGAAATTTTTGAAAGTTTTTGCGGGTCCTCCGGCTCCTGAGTACTTTCTGTAGCTTTAGGGATTCTAGCTTTAGGGATTCTAGCTTGAGGGTGTCTCTCAAACCTTTCCCTTACGGAGCGATAAAATCAACCTCGCAGCGACTACAAAAATTCGTAATTGTGAGTGGTACATCCATGTGGCAACCAAAGTAGCAACTTTCATTTAAAAATGGCTCCGTTGAAAAACACCTCAAAGCTCTAGCATGGCAGGTACGATTTTAAAAAATTGGAGACTTTATGTTTGATCTGGGAACGATATACACATGTTTCAAAACCTATCCGGACTTAGAATGAATAGATGTAAACTATACTCAACACGATTATCTTAGTTTAACTCACAGCGTGATTGTGAGAAAGTCGTAGATTTTTATTTTAGTAGCCGACGAGGTATGAACAATTACATTTTAAGGCCTCTAAAAACTATATCAAAAGAAACATTACTTTCTCTACCCACAGGATGATCGACGAAGCAAGAGAAAAATATGATATTGAGATTTTAAGCAAGAAGTACACATATTGGAACTGTGGAAGTGAAACCTCATGACCGTTCCCGCTTTTTTTTAAAATTCAAAACGGTTCCGTTTTGCCGCCAATAGTTGCATTAGCTCTCTGGTTCAACGCTAGGTACCGCTCGGGTCAGCGGGGAGAGCTCCGTCTGCACTTATTCTTAGTCTATGGATCGAGCTTTCAACAGCTGATGTGATAAGACCAACGATTTGCCATCTCTCTCAGTCTCAGGGCTTTTTATCGGGGTTTCTCTCACTCTTATTGTCTCAAAGTTTCAGTACTTTAGTTTAGTACATACAGTGTGCGTCAGTATTGAACTTTACCTCCTTCGTGTAGGTCATGTTTTCACATTTCTAACGTGAAGCGTTCGTAGGTGATAATCAATAAAGTAAGTTTCACTTGCTGTTTCTTGAAATTTTCCTTCAGTTAGGTTGTGTGTTCTTTGTCCTCTGTTTTGATGTTTTCTTCCCGTTGTATTGCCCAGCAATTTATCACGATCGTATTTTCTGCCCTCGACATCCGCGATTCCTCAATCCCTGATAAATATTATCGCGGATCTATATCCTTATTTTTGTGTTCATAATATGTGTTTTGGTTCTTCAATCAATTCCGCGTGTGCTCCTAGTATTGACCTATACTTACGAATTTACAACTCCACCTTCGTTGTTTGATAAATATGTTCACGGAACACAATCTGTAAGTGCCTGCACGAACTAAAAGTTTTTGACCTACCTTACGGGTCTCACGTGAAATCTCCGGTTTCAAGTCATGTCTCTAAGTCTCTTGTTTCTCGTCCAATTTGAATAACTCTTTTGCATGATCCTTTAAATTATCAACCCTTACGTCTTCGTGAAGATCATTCGTATGCATGCTTTTGTCTTTAGTAAGTACCAGTTAAAGTCTTTAACTGAATAGTCTCAATTTTAACTACGCACTCAGATATTATTTTATACGCTGATCTATTGCATATTCATCCATCCTTATTCAGCAATTGACACAGGGGTGGTGACTCCATACCGCACCCAATACCTATGCGGCTTGTTTCACCTGAGTGCTTGTTTTCAAGTTTTGAGGGTTAAGTATCTGGGTTCTACATCTCAGATGCCATCATCAAGGTGGGACGTCAATTTCAGTTCTCCACGCGGCAGATGCTCTTGTGGATCTAAGAGGTCTAGACTTCTCAAAATCAAAATCAAATATTGCACAAAGCGAGCGCTGTCGTTAAGGAGGGATTTATTTCAAATATTACCTATGGTTCATCATCACATTTTAATTGTATTTTGTCAGCGTAAGTCCGCAACCACATGTCTCGTTTGCGGTGTCTAAAAATTGCCGCCTTATGTTATTTTTTTAAAGGTGAACAAATTAACATCATTCCATAAAGTTTTTGCAGAATTTTCTTCGCACACAGAAGAAAAATCACGACAGTTTTAAAGAATTGCCGTTGAGTAGTTTTCTGTTTAAAATCAAAGTAGGTATGACAGGAAGTCTGCGACATTGCAAACCGAGTTATTTGATTGCCGACTTCCTCCGTCCGGTTAGCCAACACCAATGCCCACGCTCTGCCCGCAATTGATATTTGTAAATAAGTAGTGTGATAAATTCTCACTTTTAGGTACTCAGTCATAGAGCATTCTCTTGTAAAACGTTGAAAATTGCAGAAGGCACAGTCAGAACTGGGCCCTTACAAGCAATACAATTAAGAATGACAAATTGTCCCAATATCATTTTTCACAAGTCACATTTTGTTTGCTCTATTCTTGATAACGATGCTCCTAAGGAGCCTAATTTTTAGTGAAACTGTAGGTACGGGTCTTCAATTTGACAGAATGAAAGATGGCCTCATTGGATTTGGATTTACCCATTGAAGATTCTTTTGATTTGACAGTGGGTCTCTTGAGTGCTGTAGGGATTTGCGGTTTCAGGGCTTTACATTTTGTAAAATTATGAAAGGAACATGATTGTGTAACTGGAAACGCTGCTTTCGAACAAACCGCTGAACTATATAAAGCTCTCCAAGTTTAGGCTGTGATGGAGAGAATCACCTCCGCTACGGTAAGAGTCCAATTCTAAATTCAATCACCCTCTCCATGCACAGATGAGGAGCAAACATACATTAGCATTGTTGCCATATTATCTGGGAATTCGGGGCTTGAACGCCAGTACCCTAGGTAACATATTCTCTCCCTATTTTTGCATGGAGAGTTTGACTGGATGTATAGAAGTGGGTCTCTCACGAAAATGTAGCACATTCCCTCCATTACAGCCTCAAATTCAAAAGCTTTTTTTTTTTTAAGTTTTAGAGTTTTTTTCACAGATCTTTTGCACTATTTTTTTCTTAATTGTCGAACAAGAGGTAACAATGAGGATCAATTCAGAGCCCCCCCCCCCCCCCCCCNTTCAAAAAAGGGAAAATAGATTCAGGAGGGGGATCAAATTGGGAACAACCATTACTTAAGAACAAGCGATGGCATTTGGTACCTTGTGTTTTCTCAGAAACGCGAACTGCCTTCAATTTGCGAAGTATATAACCCGCAATATGCGGGCCCTTTTATCCGCGAGCATCCCGGCCCCTCAGAGCTAATCCGGCCCCGGGTCTCTGATTTGAATCCCATACCTATCCAGCAGGCCATCATCCGAGTATGATGGTCTCAAGCAAGGGTTGCCGGGGCTGAGGGGGTTGGGCTCCAAGTGCAGGATTTGCCTCAAGGGCTATTTGAAGTAAGGAAAACAAATTGAATCGTCATTTTAGGGTCTGTATCTGCAAGTATTTGGAATTTTATTTGTGGTTCGAACAATAGTAACGGAAAGGCGTGGCTGGCGCACAGTGGATCGAGTCAATAGGAGAGACGGACAAAATTTGGAAACTTTAAACGCTTATAACTCCGTCTATACAGAACTTTGAGATTCCAAAAGTGGTTCGATGGGTTTCCTCGTAAAGTTTCTATACCAAAAGCACCCCTTAAAGTTTAAAATGTGACGGAATAAACATAAAAATTGAAAAATTTTAGTCAAAAATTTTATGTCCGACCTCTCTAATTGACTCGATCCATCGTGCGGCGGCCGAGAGAATCGGAGACCATCTTGGGGAAAAGCCAAAGCACGAACCTTGACCAACCTGCCAAGATCCCTAACTTGTGATTTCATAATCCCGATAGCAGCTACGTTTACGGTCATTTCGCTTTTGAAAACATCGAACCGCCAAAGTAACATGTTCGATCTTTCAAAAAAGTCTACCCGTCACACATTGCTCCCCATTTCGGCCCGGTCACCTCACAAGTTTGAGGGATGGACCCTAAAAATCAGGCTTGCCAGCCAAGATGGCTCTTAAAATTTTACCCTGAAGTTGTAACATCAGTGAATTTCACGCCAGATTTCACTGTGAGATTTCTAACTGTATAAACCGGCGGCCCCAGACGATATGCCTTGCCACGCAGCCATCTCTTTTACGATCTGCTAAGTCTGATCTGGATATAAGTAGCACGGTAGAAAGGTGATATCGTTTCAAGGTCCGACGCGATAGATCGTCGTGGTGTCGTCGGTGCTTGGAGTCGAGAGAAAAAGAGACTGTGACGTAACAACAGTCTGTTCGGTTTCAAAATCGTGCACACTAAAGGTCGATCAGCACACTTTTTAAGTTAATTTTCCCTTTGGCAACAGTGTCATGCAGATCTGATTCAAGAGGTGGGATTTTTTCTCATTATACATCGCACGAATATCCCGGCTCGTATGTCCCAGAAGTCTCAGCCTCTGATAGGTCAACCGTGAATTGTTAAGTAGTATTTTCGCCTTTTTACGTACTCGACCGTAATGTAATACGGAGTGCCCACCGCAGGGGAGAAGTACGGAAGCACTGAAAAAGTACGGATTTTAAAGGTTTGGTACGGGCGTATGGAAAACGGACTTTTCTTTTGAAGGGGCGACAAAATTCGACATTTTTGCGATAAACTTTCAAGAAGAGCCTTGAAGGTATGCAATTTTCATACACGATCAATTATGTTACGTCTCCGCGAAATCTAAGAAGTTCTAGTCCAAACATTTGGAATTCCCATTTACCCTTACCAGAATCTTCTCTGCAAATCCGTCCTTGTCGAAGCTCAAAATGCTTGCCATGCAAGGAAGAAGGCATAATGAAGAACTTCCATTCCATGTCTGTCAAAAAATTCGGGATTTAGAACTTGTTTGCCCCAATGTCTCCCACTCCATGACCGTCATCCGTTGCAGGACTCCTTTTAGATATTTTCAAAAGTTCCGAGAAAGTTCCGGACAATGCAAAAGATCCGGAACATTTTGGGAAAATTAAAAGTTCGAGGAATAATTCATGAAAATCTCAAAAGTTCCGGAATTCGGAACTAGGTCCGGGAAACGAGAGCACTGTGAAGAAGCAAGCATTTCGGGAAACCGCGGGAAAGAGGATTTTCTTAGGAAGTAGGGAAAACGCAAGAAGTTTATACTTTTTATGGATGATGACGTAGCAGTAGACACTCGATAACCGCAACCGTGGAAGAAGATTTCATAAGGAACAAATACAAGCTACGTCATCTAGATCAAACAGGTTGAAAACAGGAAGTGATAACTAACTGGGGCACCCTGTTCCCGTCCCGCTTCTGCCTCGCCTTTCCGCTCTGGGAATCCATGGGTGTATTGGAACGCCGCGGACGCCACGAGTATGATCCTCATGTGTTGATAAAAATTTCAGATTTTTTTTCGTAAATTTGTTCATAAGTGAATGGCCGTCTGTTGATGATCTCACTGAAATAAATAACATGCTCTTTTAGCACCTAGCATGTAAAAAATGTGTCTGGTGATCCCAAGATGCTGCCTTTACTGCCCCCGCAGTTAAAGTTACATCCTCTGAATGCAAATTCAGCTGCGTGGGCAATCAATGCAGCATCTTACGATCACCAGACACATTTTGGACATCTTAGGTGCTAAGACAGCATACCACGTTTTTCAGTGTGCCGGAAGTTTCGTTTTGACATATCGTTACCCGTACGAAGGAAAGTAGCCCTTACCCGTACGAAAGAAAGTAGCTCTTACCCGTACGAAGGAAAGTAGCTATATTCTATGGTTGCAACGTCGGTTCAAACGATGCGATTTTTTACAAGAGGTGTATGGACAGTTTTCGTTCCGAATTTGTCTGATTTTTGCGTGAGATTGGAGGAAAAATCAGTGAAATTGCCAGTGAAAAATACCCAAGATTTTCCTCGTAAAAATACAATTTGCGAGGGGAAGTGTGGCAAAAATAATTGTAGATACGTTCTTCGGTGAAAGAACTACGATATGAAAGTCAGTCAAAAGCATGCTGGAGCTTCGGTTACTGCCTCATTTCTGAAGAATGGAAAAAGAAAAGAAATGCTCATAATAAATCGAGGATTAGTGCCGAACTCATAGTTTTATTGCTCTGCTAAAGTACACAGAGAGAAATTTCAACACAAAAGTTCGGTTAAAAGGGAAAGTAAAAAACAAAATAACCCCGCCGGCCTTCGGTTGACAATTTCAAGAGAAAATTCCAGCTACTTTCGAAGAAATTCAATAAAAAACGAGTGGTGACCACCAACGCCGCAACCGGAGGAATGCACTTTCCCAGTATCTCTATTGTGTTCCGCGCTGAATTTACAGCCAACTGTATCAAAATCAACAAAATATTTGTATTGGTTTATGCTTTACCTCTTATACTAACGAAACTAAGAACACGCATTTTTTTATCAGTGTAGGATTCTGAAATTCAAGAGAAGAAATTCTTATGGTGATTTTTACGAGCATCTCAATTGCAGCATCACAGTATTTTCTCTCGGTCGTTATTTTAAACGAGACGGTTTGCAAGATTGCCACAGTTACGAAAACTCGGTGAAACCGAAAAGAATCAGGGGGAACTAGCCGTAGAATATGTGTAAAATGACGAAATGACCCCAACAAATTTCTTGCTTCTAGCATAACTTTGGTGGAAAACGCGTAGTTTCCGCAAAATCGAGGCAGTTCGTATTCAAAGAGGAAAAAGGAGGTCAACAATTTGTAATTCCTAGATGAAAATGGGGCTCTCAAAATTTGGAGGCCAATTGGAAAAATGGAAAGGCTGAAAATTGTCCACATCCTCGCCCTGACCGTCAAAATGGCCATCTTAAAACGGATACCATCCATAATTAATAGAAGTTTACCAAAGCCGAGTCAGGTGTTTGTCATTAAAGTTGCTGAGGGACGGATCGAGTCACTTCCCCATAGCTTGAAATCACGGTGTGTCTGTATCTTGGACCATCGCCAAATTCTTGTATGCGTCTCATCGGCAAGAAAATTTGGTAAAAATTGACGGAGGAGCAGAAAACATGTCGACGCTCTTGCCAAAAAGGAAAGACACCGTGACCTCAACACCTCAACATTTTTGTACAACTTGCGAGCTTCGGCGCATAGTGCGGGCTGCGGAGTTCACGTGTCAGGAATACCTACTTCGCTCTCATGCCACTGTTACGGAGTACCGTTTTTCCGTACGCCAAAAAAGCCTTTAGAACGACTTTCTTGGTTCGGGAACGGTAGATTCTAGATTTTTTTCAACGGCAGTCGAGGCTTTTGATGCAGAATGGGCATTTCTCAGTCGCGAAGTTTCAGAATTTCCCAAGCCAATTTTTATTTTAGATAAGAAACTATCGGGTGAATTTTCTGACATTTTTCGTTTGCAGCACTGTAAAATTATAAAGAATATTCAGTAGGCGTTACAACATATAAAATACATTTGCATTAATTATAATGGATGTAACGGTAGCGGAGATGTTGAGACACTGCAACCAACAAATGCCCTTTCTGTACCCAATGCTACTTTAGAAGTCAGAATGTAGACTCAATTTCTCATAAAAGTCTATTCCATGCCTCTTTTTGTCAGTGGCGTGGCGTGCTTTGCGATACATTGATTGTTTTGCCATTTAAACCTATGGAAAAGGATCGATAATCAGGGTGTTTGCAGCGAACACCTTAATAATCGATCCTTTACCATAGGTTTATATGGCAGACCAATCTATTTATTTCAAAGCACTCCACGCCACTGCCCTGTGTCACGAAATGAAGCATCAAAAGTCCGTTGCAAGTGGTTTTCAAGTATCACGACAGCCAATTCCCGTATCAGGCAGTCATTCTTTTTCATTCATGTCTTATCAATTACTTCTTTCAAAGAGAGAGAGGAGGGGCGGAAAAATTTATGAATAAATAAAAATGAGAGAACTCAGCAAAATCCTTAGATTCGAGATAGCTGACGATGAAAAATTGCAGGTCAGAATTACATAAAATGAACGCTGAAAGGGACCGCGATATCTTCTATTGTAAATTTTAAATCCTCGCTCCCGTAGAGTTATTGCTTATCTATTTATCTATTTATAGAAACTCGTGAGTTGAAAAGCGGATATGTTTTGTTATTCTCTCGTTGCCTCGCACTGCATGTCACGGCCAGGCTAAGAAAGGAAGCTCGTTCGTTTTCATTCATGCAGTACTTTTAACCATCGCGCTGCGTCACGTGCTTTTGCGAAGATCTTACTATCGGAATGGTGAAAATGAACGAAATCTCTTGTTTGACCAGGGTGTCTATAGAAGTCCGGAATTTCTGGATGGTCCGGAACAGAGACAAGAGACCCTCCACTGGCCTCCTAGCGACAGGTGGAAGCTTTTACTTTCGGGGTTTCAACAATTCCTTATGGACAATTATTAGGGAGCAACAGTCATCACCCTAGTTTCGGCTGTTGACTTACCTACATGGTCGATGATGAGCTTTGGATGACGTCATGAGCCAAACAACTTTCCCAAACGTCGGCCATTTTCGGCTTGTTAGCAAAACGAAACTGCCAACACGTTGTTGAACATCAACCATGTAGGTAAGTCAACAGTAGAATGCTGAAGTCCCGAAAGTAAAAGCTTCCACCATGGCCAAGATACTAGTGGAGGGTCTCTTGTCTCTGGTCCGGAAATAGTACTGATTTTTTAAGAGCTGTCCGAAAGCACTGAGAGAATGCGGAAATTCCGCAAGGAAGTCCGGAATTTTGTTCATTTCTGAGCGAGGAATTCAAATTTTTGAAATTTTTCGAATTTCGTCAAATGGAGGTACTGGAAAAATACTGCATTTTTCTATCGAGGAGGTACTGAATTTCTTGGGAAAGTACTGAAAAAGCACCGTAAAAGTGCTGATTTTTGGTCAGCCTGTCTCAGTAGACACTCTGATTTAACGGGAACTCGTACACTTAAGAATGTCAGTCTATTAAGTACCTACATTTAGTAAAGCTGATTCAAATTAGCTATTATTTATCTGCAATAAAATGATCTGCTGCATTAGGAAGATCTGACAAGGTGTCTACCATCAGTGAAAACCGGAAAAGATAAGGAAACACGATGTTATCAGGGAAAATATTAGGAAAATCTGTCGTGGATCAAGAAATTCCGAATGCCTCGTGCAGTTTTCGAGAATTTTTCTAACTGATGATTTATTTGATCAAATATATGTTGATTTTTTAGATCGAACGAGTGTCAATTTTAGTCGCGGATAAAATCAGGAAATCTCGTCTAAAATATCAGGAAAATCCGAAGCGTCGCCATCCTGGATGGTGAAATGGGTTTTTTGGAAGGGGAGGGAGGTTCCGATAGAAATTGGGTTCTGATCCTCTACATTAAGATTCACTTCAAAGAGCGTTCTTTATCCACGTTAACTCCGGTAGAAAAGGAATATGGCTGAGAAAAGAGCGTAGTTTTGATGAAAATCAGGTGCTGCCGATAGTCCCAAATAACGCACTCGGTCGCGTTCATGCAGGCCGGAAAATCTTTACTTCTCTGACGTGAGGGCGTGTCTCAATTTTAACTTGAGCCCTGTACTTTGTGTACCCCTATGCATTCCGAGGCTCAGGTGGAAATCGAGATACGTCCTTTCGCCAGAGGAGCGACGAAACGTCTACCCTCTCTCGTCCATCCTGCGCCGATTTCTTGCCACCTTGTTGCCAAGATCCAACCACGAAATTGATCCAAGGATGCCCGATATGCCGTGCTAAGGAAAACCGCAGTATGAGCATTCGAGAGTTGCCAAATTTTTCCGGATAAAACGTATATTTTTTAGAAAAGTTATGCATATTTTGCCGCGAAATTTTCGGATGTGTAAGATCAAATCGCGAATAAAATGACCTGCAAAATTCGAAAATAAATATTCACAATTTTTCCGGTAAATTCGATTTTTAGTCAAGGAAATCTGGCAACGTTTAAGGGCTTATACGGCGTTTTTCCTTAGCACGGCAGTGATTTCCTTTCATGATGAAATGTGACAATGGCGCCAGAGGCTCGGTGGAGATAGGCTCGGGAGTCCGGAGGGCGATGACCTTAAATCGGAGTCCTGAGCCGGGAAGCTAAGCACAGCCTTGAGGATACTCGTAAATCGATACATTAATGCAGGAACCGAACATCGTTTACCTATCGGGTGGCGCGGCGCGGCGGTGGGCAGCCGGTAGCTACCGGAACAAGCGTAACAATCCAGAAAATTCCCCTACGAACGACAGAACAAGGTTGAGAATTTATCAAATCCCCTGGATATAAAGCCTAAAACAACATTAAAAAAAAATAAACTCATCAAATCCTTTGGGGCTGTCCATAAAATGAGTGACGAGGGTTTTCCGATTTCTTTGACACCCACCCTATCAGGGGTGCAGATCACGCGCTCGGGCTGGCGCGTGGGAATGTGGAAACGTCCCCCAAAATGTGGAAGGAGGGAAATTCAACCTCCTTCTCTGTCATTTTGAATCATTTGCATACAACGTCTGCTGTTTTTTTTTTCTTTTTTTAAATCCCCCAGAGCCCAATGAAACCTAAAATCGCTATGTCCATCACGAGAGGACACTCGAGGTTCCATTTTCTTCTCGTAAAAGCACGTTACTGATCATAATTTAGAAATGATTCATGCCAATCCATTAGGTATTACTTACTTTGAAAAAAAAGAAACAAACGCAGTGAATCTTAGCCTCTAATTTTTTTCCGAACTCAAGTTCTCGTTTTGAAATCATATTGCTGGTGGTCAATGCCGAAGGGTTGTCATTCCATCGGTGCAAAGGGTTGCCATTCCATCATTGCGAAGGACTGCCATTCCATCGGTGCAAAGGATTGCCATTCCATCGGTGCAAAGGATTGCCATTCGAACGGTGCTTTCCTTTTTTGCTATCGGTGCTTTCATTATGTCATCACATTGTGTGCAGATCCCTTTTATTTTTAGCCAGTTTTGTCTGATTAATTACTAATCGTTGTTGCCTTTGATGTCACAGGGATTAACACGAAACATTTCACGAAGCTGAGGTATGGGACATTGCATTCAAGAAATAGTAACATGGTAAGTTCTTTCTTTCTCCATTCACTTTTTAATGTCTTTGACTTATTATACCTAAGACTGCTATTATGTCACTGATTTGTTTTAGCTCGTCTTTCGATCGTTATCATATTCGTTTTTGAAACAGCTCCTCGCCATAGGAAGTACCATGTTGATTACATGATAGTAATGAGATAAGGTTTAAAGAGATCCTTAACAGAGCATCCTACAAACGACAATTTTAACGAATTTTGATTAAAAGTCAATAGCATATCCTTCTGAATACACCTTTGTGAGGAATTACATTGTTTTACATCCATAAAAAATGAAAATACAAACGGAAACATTTTACCAGTTTTGAAAATTATTTTGAGGTCCTTATCCTAAAGTTTTCAAAATCGTATAAATTTTTCTTAAGTATTTTTTTATTTTTTGCTGTGGCAAATCATTGTAATCCCATACAAGGGTTTATTTCTAAAGTTATTTGTTCAACCGTCAAAAGTCCGAACTAGTCGGTCGATAGGGGGTTCGACTGAAGCACGAGGAAATGAACCCTCGACAACGAAGCCTTACACAGAGTATAGCCCAGCTCATGGCTGACCAATCTAAATGCTAACGTGTGTTCCTTGAGATCTCGAGGACAGATGAGCGAACACGTTATACAGGGTGTCCCAGGATTAAGTACGAATGTTGATAAACACTGTCACAGTGTTAAAATGACGATTTTCCTACTCCAACTTTTGGAGGCCATGGTCCCCAGGGGAAGCGTTTTGGAGAATAAGTTATGCCACAAAAACGTCTTTTTTTAACCCGAAGAATCGACTCCTTCAATATTCGTACTTAATCCTGAGTCACCCTGTATTCGACGTTCGTACGTGTCATAACTTTCGTCGATAAACAACGGTTCTTGATTCCCGCTCTACGGACTCCTCTTTCTCGCACTATACTTATTCTGATCGCCGAGTGGCTTCGCATTACACTATCGTACTAAGGAAGAACGCCGCATGAACATCCGAGAGTTGCCGAATTTCCTTTGAGTAAATGCTTATGTTTGCGGGAAGCTATAAATATTTTTCCTTGAAATTTTCAGGAACTTTAGGTGAAATTGCGAACGAAATTATCTGAAAAATTGGGAGGAATATATTCATAAGTTTACCGGGAAATTCGTGTTTTATCAAAGGAAATTTGGCAATGCCTGCAGGTTCATACGGCGTTTTTCCTTACCACGGCATTACAGGCATCTGCATCGGATTTCGTCCATTATTTCGTCGCACGGCTTATTCCAAAGACGCAATTAACCTATTTATCGAATGCGTTTATCAGACTCGTCTGTTTTCTATAAATATTCATCGGATTTTAAACCCGGGTTGGACCATATTGATACGGATGACGTCCTGCGTTGTCTTTCATGAAAAATTTTACGATTTCCTTTTCATCAGGAAATTTTATTAATTCCTAAGAAATAACTGGAGACGACTGTAATATCCAAGTATGTTTTCGCCCCCTTGATAAAATTGCCCCATCCGTGGACTGGCCATCCCTCTTGCCCAGTCCACTAATTGGGTGACATTGTTTTGTGCAAACGAAAATTTGAGCAACGAAACCTCTTAGTTCACCTGCCCGAGGGATTTTTCTCCGTGAGAGCGAGCACACACCTACACACGTATACGGGAGTGCAACCTAAAATTTCGACAAATTTGGCATAAAATAAATTAAAATTAGATGAAAGTGGAAAGAGGGAATACCCTAGGTTGGCTTCATAGGATAGGAAACATTTCGTGGAAGATTAGGTGAATACTCGTAAATCATGAGGAAGCAGAATGGTAAGGAGAATTTTACGGCAGTCATCATATTTCGTGGATTTTACTTACCTACCATTGTCCCGTTTCCATGATCTCGTGTCTAGCACTACTATTAGTCAGCGTATTTTTGACAGGGTCATGTCATGAGAAAGTTTACAGATCACAAATCACACACTTTATTTACCTAGGTACCGCATTAGAAACAAACGGAAGTGACTTTTGAAAAAATGACGGAAACCCAAAAAAGTCAGAATGCTCGTAGCCGAAAAAAGCTATGCTAAAATGCATGTGTTTCAATGTGAAATGCCGCCATGCAGATGACGTCACGAGGCGGCACATTTTCTCTTTTGGTGCAAATTCTCCTTTGAAAAGAAGAGAAGGAAAAGAAATGCCTCAATTTTAAAAGATAAATAAAATTATCTTGCTCCAAAACAAAGCAAAACAAAAATGGTAGTAAAGTAAGAAAATGTTTTAATTCCAAATCAACATTGTCCGCAAACTTAAAACAATTGTTTTCTCTTTTTCTCTTCTTTTTAAGGTGAGGAAAATTGTGAGGCCATTTGAATATGGAGATCTTACTCTCTCGCAGTTGCAATGGAGGTCTTTCATGTCTCAGGAATGTGCGGTTTAAGCACTTATTCCCATGTAAAATTCCGCTAGAAACACTATGATACCACTGGTTTTCTCTGAAATCGACTCCGAAGCTCAAAAAAAGCTCCCAAGTTGAGGCCGTACTGGAGGGGATATTCCAAGCTACCCTGAGAGTCCACCTCCACATCAAGACAAACTCTATGCAAAGATAGGGAGCAAGTACTTAGCAGGATTGCCGTGTTTTCACTTTTGCAGTCCCCCAACAAAGTGGCAACCCTGATAATGTATTTGCTCCCTATCTTTGCATAGAGAGTTTGCCTTGATGTAGAGGTGAACTCTAAGGGTAGCGTAGGATGTCCCCTCCATTACGGTCTCAACTTGAAAAGCTTTCTTTGAGCCTTGGAGTTTATCTCAGAGGAAACCAGTGGCACCATCGTGTTTCTCGCGGAATTTTACTCAGGAATCAGTATTTAAATATAAATTGTAAATTCCTGATTTATGCAAGAGCTCTATTGCAACGATCCCTGTAAATGTCGGTCACGTGTGTGAATTTTTACTTATCAGTATTTCAAGTCCACGCGACGCCGCGGTGGGTCGCACGGGCACGCGTGCAATAAATTAAAATCTTGACGCCGCCGCTCGCTCGCGCCCACCACTGGCGCACAGGGGACCGAATCAATAGGAGTGGTCCGACAAAATGTGGAATTTTTAAACGCTTTTAACTCCGTTCATACAAAACTTTGAAGTTCTGAAATGGTTTCATCGGTTTTCTCGTCAAGTTTTCTTCGGAAAGCACCCCTTGAAATTTAAAATGTGACGAAATAAACATCAAAATTTGCAGTTGTGGTCAAAAATTTCATGTCCAATCTCTCTATTTGACTCGATCCACTGTGAGGCGATGGCATGACCCGTGCATGTGCTTGTTTATTTCCGGGAAATCGGCTCCGAGCGATAGACATAGATTTCGTTGGGTGAGTTGAGTCCGACTCCGAGCCGGCTTGCGGTCGAGTGGTGCCTGCTAAAAATAACCCCAAAGGTTAGCACCGACGTTGCCTTTTTTTGTGTGAAACCCTCTATTCTCCCCGGCGGCTCTCTCTGAAGACTCGAAAAACTGACCGGGATGCTTTCCACTTGAAGATGCTAGGCGTGCATTTCATGTGCGCGTGGCTTAGTGCGCGTCTTAGGGCCAAAATTTTACTCTGTTTAATTTCCTATTCCGACGGTGGAACTGCGGGAACGCGAATCTCGCGTTTGCGGTATTTCAATAACTCCGCGCTCATTTAATTACACGCAAGGAGAACAAATTAACTCAGTTGCTTGAATAGAATTATCATAGAATTTCCTTCTTACAGAGGAGAAATCAGGGAAGTTTTCCAGGCATAACGAGGAGTATTCTCTTCTTTCAATTTACTTAATTCAAAGAAAATTAATTTTAAAATCGATGTCAAAAGTGGACGCTACTAGGTCCACTTCCCCGAAACTTCATTCTTCCATACTTACTGCTCTCTTTAATTACTTGGTAGTTCTCTTGCTCATTTTTTTTAAACAGTCTTTCATTTCGTTGTAATAACGATTCCACGGCCACGGCGAATTGAAACAGCGTACCGCATGTACGATTCTCCACTGCGAGGGAACGAAAGTCAAAACGCCTTCAAATACGCTGCATGCCACACGCACGTCCCTCGAGCATGTTTAGTTGTATTCTTAGGTTAGAACCTAAGTCTAGCTCGTCTCCCTTTACTTGGCCGTGCCATTAACCAACTGAGGCCATTGTCATTCACTTTCTGCAGTGTTGATGAAGCGGTTGTCCCTAATATATTGTTTTATTTAATGACTTTAACACAGCATGACCATTTTCAGGGCAACCTATACATTTACCTCTTAACCGAGGAAATTCTAGGCGTTTAGAACGAGAAGCTGGGACGGGTTTTTCACGAAATTAATGGATTAAACACCGTACACAGCTGAAAATGACCTCTTTATTTTCTATATTTACGGGAAGGGAATCTTCTTCAAGTCTTTTCGATCTCTAAATTACAGCTCGGCTCTGACTTCAATTCAGCCGCTTCGCAAATTTCCGCATTCCGATCCACCGTGCGCATTGATGTTCTACTACGGCTTAATTCATATTCTGCCGCGCCGCGGAAAGGAAAAACGCCGTACAAGCTTTTAGATGTTGCCAAATTTCATCTTCTAAATTACGGATTTTCTGGGATTTTTTGTTTGTTTTTTACCTCTATAACTTTTCATCGGATTTCATCTGCAATAAGGATAATCTGAAGTATTAAAAAAATCTAAAGTATAAATATTCCCAGCTTTTTCCGAAGGAAAATGTTGTATTGGAAGAAATTTGGCAACATTCGAATGTTTGTACAACGTTTTTTTAACACGGCAGCATCGTGGTCAATCGTTGGTTTCCTTGTAAACAGTTTGATTCACCTACTACAGCGTAGTAGTAGTCCTTTGATTCAGATCACCATTCTCGAAATTTCTTCGCAAACTGAGTTTTTGACACGATAGTCTCCTAGTATTTAACAAAGACACCACGTAGCTGTTTTGGCACAAATTAAGCTTGTGAACCTTTGGGCAGTAGACTGTTATTATAATCAGCATTTCTGTAGTTTTTTTTTT